CCCGGCCTAGCATGCTGCCGCCGCCGCCTCAAGCGGCCGCCGGCGACAGCTGCAATGGCCTCCTAGGCTCTTCGTCCAAGATCATCACAGGTAAACCAGCTCTCATTTTGTTCTATTATTTATTTGTGACTTGAGTACTAAAAAATTGCAATGTGTGTAGTTCCGTTTGACAGTATGATGTCCACGTTTATAATGTGATCTTTGTTCTTCACTTTTGTAAAAGTGGATCTTTCGCTACATTTGACTATTTTCTGAGCAGCCACGAAACTTGCATAGGTAGTTCAATTTGCAGACTTCATCCATTTCTTGAATTGATTTTTTTCCTCTGATTAGCCTTCCGTCTCGGGTTTTTTTTCCCTCTTCTCCCTCTGGATGTTTTTCAGCAAAGGCTGTGCGTATTTTTGGGAAATGTCTTTCCACATTTGAGCTTTAACTGTTAATTAAACGTAACTCAACTCAACTATTTATAGAGCACTTTCAAACAGCCATCGCTGCATACAAAGTGCTGTACATGGAGCAACTAACATATACAACAGTAAAGCAACAAATTGGTAACAAGTGATACACGTTTTTGAGACAAATAAGACACACTCATTTAGTTTCCCAAGACACGCAGGGCCGCAATATGAGGATGAAAGAGCCGCATGCGACTCCAGAGCCGCATGCGACTCCGGAGCCGCGGTTTGCCGACCCCTGATCTAGACTAATAATGGGATGTCTTGCTGGCCGAGTGATATTTTCAGCTTCCTTTTTCTTTCTACTGTCTCTGGCTTATTGGGTTCACCTGACACGCTCAATGTGACTGTGGTGACGTGAAGCATGACGTGTGTATAACATTGCAGATGTCTGAGGTGGTGGCCTGCCTGTTAGATGGCCTTTGCAAGGCAGGCAATGGTAAGACTCCTACTGGCCTACGTGCCAGGTTTGCTTGCATGGGAGTGTGCGTTTTTTGTGGTTGTGATTGTGTGTGTGTGTATGTGTGTGTGGGGGAGTGGGGGGGGCGTACTCCTAACAGTGTGTTTCAAAGTAAATGCTACAGTAGATACATACAGTGTGATGTGTATGTATCAATGCTGACCAGACAAACTAACATTTGCCTCATGTAACTAAACGAAAAATGAAAAATGTGACTGACAGCGTGCTGTTAAATGTTTGCTTGTTCTATGTAGCGCTGCGTGTGCGCGCGTGTAGTTCATCTGCCATACTTTACATGTACACCAAGGACTCCAAATAATGACATTTTAGTCCCAAATGACATCACAGGACCCGTCCGATAAGGCAGGAGAATCATCATAGTCATACACTAAGATCTAGTAATGTCATTATACAGTGATGCTTTCAGATACAAGTTCAATAAATTCAGTGACCACGTGAGCAACTCACAATGCAAATCAGCCTCCGAAAAAAAAATGGTTTTACTGTTTGAGCCCATCAATGGACAAGCTGGAATAAAAACTCTGCCCAGTAGATGGCAGCATTGCGTCTCAATGGAGACGCATGAACAAGGCGGATAAATCAAAATGCAGTTGTGATTGATCAGTTTGTCATGTAAAATCCCCCATCCACGCTCCGAGCCACCCGCCCCCTCAGCCGCAGCAGGCGCAGGGAGACCAGTCGCCGCCTGACACTCCGCCTCACGTTTATTATTAAAAAAATTTGTTAATTTATGAATGAACTAGTCCATCTGTTTGATTTTTTTTTAAATCATAAATTCATCATCATGTTTGCTCTAAATGATTGGGTGAGTTACAATGGGAATGGTCTTTCACGATGCACTGATGTCGGGGAGAAACTTTTATTTATGATGCTGGGGAAAATTTCTTTGCAGATGAATGACGTCAAACAAACAACTTCATAAATAAACGCTGAATGTCCACTTTCAGCTACGTGAAGCACCAAAATTATAACGGAGTTGTCAATGACAAGGATCCGTAAATTTTGTGATGAGTTCATTTAGCTTGTGATTGTGTGTGTGTGTATGTGTGTGTGGGGGGGTGGGGGGGGGGCGTACTCCTAACAGTGTGTTTCAAAGTAAATGCTACAGTAGATACATACAGTGTGATGTGTATGTATCAATGCTGACCAGACATGCGACTCCAGAGCCGCATGCGACTCCGGAGCCGCGGTTTGCCGACCCCTGATCTAGACTAATAATGGGATGTCTTGCTGGCCGAGTGATATTTTCAGCTTCCTTTTTCTTTCTACTGTCTCTGGCTTATTGGGTTCACCTGACACGCTCAATGTGACTGTGGTGACGTGAAGCATGACGTGTGTATAACATTGCAGATGTCTGAGGTGGTGGCCTGCCTGTTAGATGGCCTTTGCAAGGCAGGCAATGGTAAGACTCCTACTGGCCTACGTGCCAGGTTTGCTTGCATGGGAGTGTGCGTTTTTTGTGGTTGTGATTGTGTGTGTGTGTATGTGTGTGTGGGGGAGTGGGGGGGGCGTACTCCTAACAGTGTGTTTCAAAGCAAATGCTACAGTCGATACATACAGTGTGATGTGTATGTATCAGTGCTGTCCAGACAAAACTAACATTTGCCTCATGTAACTAAACGAAAAATGAAAAATGTGACTGACAGCGTGCTGTTAAATGTTTGCTTGTTCTATGTAGCGCTGCGTGTGCGCGCGTGTAGTTCATCTGCCATACTTTACATGTACACCAAGGACTCCAAATAATGACATTTTAGTCCCAAATGACATCACAGGACCCGTCCAATAAGGCAGGAGAATCATCATAGTCATACACTAAGATCTAGTAATGTCATTATACAATGATGCTTTCAGATACAAGATCAATAAATTCAATGACCACGTGAGCAACTCACAATGCAAATCAGCCTCCTAAAAAAATGGTTTCACTGTTTGAGCCCATCAATGGATAAGCTGGAATAAAAGCTCTGCCCAGTAGTTGGCAGCATTGCGTCTCAATGGAGACGCATGAACAAGGCGGATAAATCAAAATGCAGTTGTGATTGATCAGTTGGTCATGTAAAATCTATTAGTGTCACAAAAGAGAGAAAAGAAGACATTGATTATTTAAATTTAAAAGTAGAAGCGACACACACATTGCTAAATACTACAACTGCTATCATTAAATAGCATGAAATTAGTTTGGAAAGTTTGTCAAATGTAAAATGGTTACACTCGTGATTACTTTGCCAGAGTATTTTATCGAAGAACTGCTCAGATGTTTGAGGTGTCACACAAGCAAAAATGATTAGCATGAAAGTCGCTGATATGCATAAAGTATAGGGTTCAAAATAGGTGATTTGTTGGAAACCAACCCATGTTCTAATACTGATTATTTTTAAAAAATGGAATGAGAAAAAACATTTTAATGGCGTTTTGCATTGTTTCTTAGCATTAAGCTAAACAGACACTGAAAGCAAAGTGACGCGGTTGCTTTAAATGTGTAACATTAAGCTAAACAGACACTGAAAGCAAAGTGACGCAGTCGCTTTAAATTTGTAACATGCCATTGCCTTTGTTGGACGTTTAGTTTGACAGTAAACTTCAGCCAGCAAATGGCAACAAAGCGCTTGAAGCTTCTTTTTTGCCGAATTGTTGACAAATCTGCCAAACTGCCGTGTTTTGCGAACTGAGTTGAATTCACTGCCAGCTGGTTCCTCAATTCATGCTCACAAGTCAAAGCAACAAAATCGACCAAACGAAGGCTTGTATCTCAAAAACACCACTGTAATGGAGTCCTTAGTGTCTGAAAGTGTGCGTCAAGATTGACAGTGGTGCATCGTGTGAATTTGTATCTGGCGTTGACATTTACCTCTTATGATGTGTCCACCAACTATGCGCAGACGGCGTCCTGGAACTGAAGGGGGCCAGACGAGCGTGGATCCCGGAGGTGGTGGTGGGCTCACGAGCGGAGTCCCCCGTTTCTCTGCCGCCGCCGCAATTCAACCCACACACGGAGAGCACTTCGCTGTGAGCGGGATGATCATCTGGGCGCTACACGCACAAGGCGGCGGCCAATGCGAGGTTCGACTCGACTCCTTTGTGACTCTTGTATGACAATCCGCTACAAGTCTGACCGCAAACTTGATCAAAAGTATTTTTTTTCTAGAATCTATTTAACGCACGACCAGATTATAAAGTGCAAAGTGAAATTGCGACGACCAAAGAAAATTCGAAAAGGAAATGGGATGAAAACAAGGCGCTGGCTTCCGTGGTGGTGGTGGTGGTTGACCAAAGTGCAATATTCAGCACAGCTTGTCTTCCGGTGGCACATATCCGGTGCCCATATTTTGGTTTGTGTAGATTTTAGGTAGTAGAATTGTAAAGGAGGGGGATGCGGGGGTTACCTTGACTTTTGCATACTTTTTGGACTTATTTACTACATTCTAAATTGCCTCGAGGATATATTTGGCATTATTTCAAAAATGTTTTCTTTTATTTATAAATATCCAGTGCTGGTTAATGACCAATTCCACTCCCCAAATTTTCAAGCTTTGACCAAATATAAATACAAAAGCTTTTCATATTGTCGACAATCTTGACCTTTCTCGAGCTCTTTTCAGCGAGTTGTCTATTTCTTTGCGGCATTTTCATGGTGTTTATTTTTTGCTGGTAACACTGAAAAAAAATATATACTGTTACTGCATCATGACTTGTGATGAATAAAGTTTTACAATCTTGTCATGTAATGTGTTGAATTTATTTGATTTCCACATTTTCTTTCACAAAGTGGCCTCAACTCGAATCGAGGCCGCGCCTCAGGAAATCACACATTGTAATAAATATAATGCTGCACTTGAAAAAAATATCCGTTGGGAAATCCAAAGCTGGCTGTCGTCACCTGTTCTATGACTGATTATTAAGAGATAAAACACACTAAAAACTCCGCATAGTGCCTGCAGATCAAGATGTGACATCTGTCAAGCTGACAGTAGTGCTGCAATTTGGTGGCATGGATCCATCGCAATCGGGACACAAACAGTCCAGAATGAAAATGTTACACATATTTTAGCAACTTGTGATTAATCACATTTTAATAAAAGTATTTGACATTAAACACTTGTGGATGCGTAGACATCGATGTGAACTATTGTTGCACCAGTCGACTACAGTGCATACATACACATAAATGAGTGCGATTATAAAACCATGTAAGATGACAATATTTACAAGTTGTTTTTTGTTTTTTGTTTTTTTTGGTACTTATGATATTTCTCAGGGGGAAAATTCAACTAGCACCCTGAATCTCTCAAAAAGTTCATTTTTTTCCTCATTCAGCAACTAGGTGGAACAAATTAGCCTTGCCCCGTGCTAGAATGGATGAGAGACGTGTCCATACTCACCACAAGCCTTCGGTGACGTGTAGCGTCTTTGAACCACAGTTTGCACATCCCGTGGCTGTTCTTCCACTGGGAACTTTTTTATTCGTAATCCTAGCCATCTGATCTCCAAAGGACTGACGAGCCCCGAGAAAATTGTGTTTTCAATTTGCTCTGGGATAGGAAGTCATTGTACAAATATTTTTATATTTTTAAAATATTTTTCTGACAACCTTTTTAATTTTACTTCCTAAATTAGAAAAAAAATTACATTGGCTTTTTATTGTTTTCAGCATCAGCGGCATGATGACATGATGTCAAAAAGACAAATGGCCGTAAAATTAACCAGAGTGGACTTTGACCTCATTTAAGATGCTCGTTTGATGTTGTCGGCTGCAAAATTGATTTGTAGCAAATGTGTTCTGACAAAATGCTTACATTTAAAGTGTATTGAGTAAACAATATCTAATTGCGCTTTTTTTTTTGGTACTCTGTTCCAAATGTTCAAAAGCTAAGGGAAGACAGTTTTCAACATGAAATGCCAAATAGCTCATGATTAAAAACAGTTTTTTTTATTTTATTTTGTTTAAGGTGGGAAAATGGCTAATGTACACAATTGACAGTAAAAAAAATACCTTAATATGTCAACACATTGAAGTTTTTTTTTAAACTCTTAAGAAGTAAAACATGGCAATATGGAACTATGCATCTGACTGTTTCGTTGATTTGAAAGGCGTAAAATAAAGTGTACACAACCTTGTAGGCTCGGTGAGACGTCCTCTGAGAAGAGCGAGGCAGCCTCTCAAGCCCAGTAGCCGATGATGAACATAGCCACAGAGAGGCAAATGATGAGGTTGGCGTTGAGCACCTGTTTCAGACGTGGATTTTCTTTCAGTTGACTGAGGTCAGGGGCCGCGGGCGTCACGGGACTTTTCTTTGACTCCTTTTTCTGTGGATTCAACCCACAGAGCCAGTAGAGAGCAAACACCAGCCGGGACTGTCGTCTCACGCCGGAGTCCGAGCCTGACGAATCTGCAACGTGCGGGAGATGGGAAATAAGCAGTGGATGAAAGAAGGTTAAGCAGATGTAAAACTACCTTTTCTTGTGCTGTTGTCTCCTTCTTTTCCTGTAACCACCATCTCAGCCCTTTCGTGACCCGTAACCTCCTCCCGGGGCTGCTCTTTGGCTTCCACGGGACTCATTCTTGTAAACCAAGTCAGACGATCAATCTTTAAAAAAAAAAAAAGATAAATACATCCTCCAGTCATATACCACCATAAAAATCATATTTCCAATTTTAATATTGATTTTGGCGGCACAGTGATTCATTGTTTAGCATGTCCGCCTCACAGTGCAGAGGTCGTGGGTTCGATTCCGGCTGCGGCCTTCCTGTGTGGAGTTTGTATGTTCTCCCCGTGCCCGCGCGGGTTTTCTACGGGTACTCAGGTTTCCTCGCACATTCCAAAAACATGCATGGCAGGTTACTGGAACAATCTAAATTGTCCCAAGGCGTGATTTTCAGCGCAAATGGTTGTTCGTCTCTGTGTGCCCTGCGATCGGCTGGCAACCGGTTCAGGGTGTCCCCCGCCTACTGCCCGAAGACAGCTGGGATAGGCTCCAGGACGCCCCCGACCCTTGTGAGGATAAGCGGATTAAAAAACGGATGGATGGATATAGATTTTTTTGGGGGGGGCCTTTGCTTACTGAAAAGATGTCAGTCAGAAAACAAAATGAAAATGGAAAGCCCACTAGAAAAGCTGAACTTTATTTGGTGTTAAATTGATGCACGTGAAAAGGTGGCAGCTGTGTGTGCTACTGCGCTCATTTACCCTGAGTAGGAAAGTGACTGGGTCATTCTGCACACAGCCACAACCCCAATTATGAGAAGGTGTGCACACTTACGCAATCACATCTCAGTGGTTACATTAATGGTGAAAAAAAGTTTTAAAATGATTTATCTAGGTCTCATAAAAACCTCCCATTTGAAATGGGGTGTGTAGACTTTTTCTATCCACTGTAGCGCTTCTCTGTTTGCAGCCATGTTGTCAGTGTGTCACATTAGCAGCTTAAAGGTGGTCTTTACCTGCTCGGCTTTGGGCTTGTCGGTGGCCAGACTGACCAGCACGACCACGGCGAGCGTGATGAAGGACAGCATCATGGAGAAGTAGAGGTAATGCACCGATTTGACCACGGCGGGCCTGTCGTCTGGCTCAAAGCACAGCGGGGCCGGGTAGATGAAGTCCAGCAGCATCCGGATGCAGCCTATCGTCAGACCCACGGCCACGCCCCAGAATGCACCCTATGGGTGAGGGAGGCCAACGGACATGACATAAAATCGGAAATTATGGTTGTCAGAAAAAGATGGTCTGCCTATGGCTGCAAATGGTGGACCCGTTCGACCAGATTTGACTGTTTCCATCGCAGAAATAAAATAAAACCACCTTGCTGCGATTTGTGCTCTCGTTTGTGTGTGAATATATTTAGAGCAGCGAAAAATAGCCATCGCTATACACTTTTGGGCTCCCACTGCTGGAGCACTTTTACCGAGAACCGCCCTTCAACTTGCATCATGTTAATGCTTTTTATGCTGGCCTGTGTAACTCAAAACTACTTTAGCGGTGGAATCGTTTTCAAATTCATCCCTCCAGGGCCGCCAGGAAGCTTTATACGGTTTCTCCGTTTGCGGTATTGAGACGCGGATGAAGACAGCCAAGTGCCCACTGAAGATCCGGATAACAAATGCACAGCCCTCGACTGCTTGATTGTAAACACACACTGCTCTACCTTCTCATTAGTCCTGGTCCAGAAGCAACCCAATAGGAAGATGATGGACACGGGGGGCTGCAGGTAGGTGCTGATGGACTGGATGTAGATAAACAGCTGCCCACCTTGACTGGCTTGAATGACGGGAATCCACAAAATGGATGCCACCACCAGTATGAGCACAAACACCCTACAGGGTAAAAAAAAACATTTGTTCATCAGAATGGTTTCTTGTATGTTTCTGGTGCTGCTGTTTTGGTTATCTACAGAGAGAAGCTACAGTAAAATATGTATTATCCAACCATTTTACTAGCGTCAGTACAGTCCCCAAAGAGTTTCCGTTTGACTGTAAGTTAGATATGTCAGAATAAAACAATGAACGCACCTCCCCACGATCATAAGCTCCCACTCGGACGCCCCGGATCGGAACGTCTTCCACAGGTCGATGGTGAAAATGGTGCTCGCGCTGTTAAAGACGGATGTGAGGGAGGAGACCAGCGCAGCAATCATCACAGCCGTCATCAATCCTCGGAGTCCTGAAAGTGACACAAGGCATATTTTATATGAATATTGAAGGGGTAACGACGACGGGAAGTGTTGAGAGTGGAAGTAACCTGCAGGCAGAAGCTCCATGACCAGTCTGGCATAAGCGGTGTCTGTACATCCTACTGGGTTGCCGCAGATCTGCTTGCACAAGTCTGGATCGGCACACGCTACATCATCTGCATGCATACATTTTCAGTCAGATCCAAATGTTAAAATGTTCAGCATTTTCTTGGACTGAAACAATCAGCAGGATAAATCAGATAATTAGATAAAAAAAACAAAAAAAAAAAAACAAGTAAAACTGCAGTTGCTAACCGGAGCCAACAACAGTCAACTACACTCAGTTGTTGACACCCACGTCACTCACCAGGCAAGGTCCTGCCTTTTAAAGCCACACACACTAACTTTGTAAGGAAGAATCAATAACAATTATAGTCTGGATAAAGATGAAGATGCAGGATTTGGTTTTGTGCATGTTGGTTAAAAAATTGCATTCTGCTGTTAACAGTAATTCATTTAACAGAATGATGAAAATCAGACAAATGCAATACGTTGGCTATCTTTGAAATTGTACTGAAGTGGATCCTGAGGACAGCAGGAAAACTGACTAGTGCATCGAAGTGGAGACTGGGAAATACAATGCTGCAGCGTCCAAGGCTAAGGCTAACACAGTAAGCTAACATAAGCAGTATGTCAGTCACCAGTTTACAGGGGCAACAGGAACAATTGTTCGTTTGAAGACTTAACTATTAAATATGCTTTTCCCACCTGTGAAAAGTATCCTGCTGATCATGCCTGGCAACATGATGGCAAAGAACGGCACAACCTTGAGGTAAGCAGCCAGCAGGGAGCCACCTTTTGCATGGCTCAGCGTTTTAGCAGCCAGTGAACGCTGCACGATCACCTGAATCACAAGCACACACGGAGCTCAGTGGTGCACATTTTAGCGATTGATTTGTGTGCATTTATTTTTTTAGTCACAATTTCAACATTTCTTTGAGATGATTAATTTATTCGCAATATTTTTTCATAAACGGCGTAAAGACTAAAAGTCCCGAGCAGTGATCCATGTGGGATGCCTCATGTTGTCTTGTAGTATACACCTCAGTGATGCACAATTGTATTCATTTTATGACTGTTTTGTTTTTATAAGTGGTGACTGAGTAAGGACTGAATAAGTTTCTCAGAAATGATGTTTGATGGACACCTTACGTTCTATTTTGTTTAACAAATGATGCACATTTCACTTATTTCTGTACTTTTTAATGGTCTATGGTTTATAATCTCTGAGAGGATGAATCTTTGAGTCAATCTGAGTCAATGAATTCCATTTTATATTGATAAGACAAAAGAAGCAATTAGACTAACATAACAAAAATAAGGTGCCTTAAAGTGATCCTTGAGGGACGGCGATATATTCTTCTTCTCTTTTAAAGAAATAGAACAAATCTTACCTGATCAGAACACCAGTACCACATGGAAGGAAGTGACATGCCGATGAAGACGCCAGGCCATGGGAGGTCAGAGTCCACCGGGTCCCTGAAGAGGTGGAAGGAATCTTCTCGGGGGATACCGCACGTCGTGTTCGGCATGCGAACCGACGGGATGGCATCGAAGTAGCCCTCCATCAGAGCATTCCAGCCTCCCACCTTTGCAAAACCTTAACGGGAGCACAAAATTAAAGCCAACATTAAAAAAAATAATAATAATGAATGTGTCAAGACAGGGCCAGCGTCATGGTTTGAGGGTGTGCTTACTAAAGCCCATGAGGATGAGCGCTCCCCCTAGCATGATAACCGTTTGAGCAGCGTCGGTGTAGATGACTGCAGCCAAACCACCTGTGGAAAAAGACGACACATTTAATTTCACTTAGAAACAACTTTCAAAAGACACTAGAAAGTCTTGCTGGGCCTAAAATTAAGACTACAGTATTAACTTAAATGAACATTGCCCGTGATTAATCAGCATTGCCTCACCTTCAAATAAATGCCTCACAAAGGTGGAAATTACTTTTATAAATTACATGTTTCACCAGTGGGCAATAAAATAATCGTTCTTTTTTTTATCCTGTTGTCCATGTATTGCGCAATATTCAAATGTGCACTTTACACTATAAAAATATTATAGTCATATAATATGGAATTAGTTCATTTCGATATATATCTGTCTAAAGTGCAAATAAATTTTGGGAGAAAACTTGATTGATGCTCACGTCACTCACCAAGCCAACTTTTCAAGCCATACACACTCAAAGTCGTAGACACTATAGTAGCACATGAGAATGGCGACCCAACCCCGAGTGGACAAAAATAACACGCACCTTACACGCATGTTATTATTTATCCCTGTATTTGTATTTTTATCCGATTACTCGAGCAAGGTGAGCAAGGTGAGGGTTGGCCGCTCACCTGCTACAGTGTAGAGAGCAGTGACAGACAGTAGAAACACTATAGCCACGTAGATGTCCCACTTTAAAGCCATCTGTATAAACAAGACACCGGCGTACATGTCCACCTGCCATCATGTACAAAAGACACTGATTAAATACACATTTGGGCATGTTAAATTAAATCGTAAAGGTAAAAATTATACCGATATCTTGGTGAAGATGTAAATAAACAAGGACAAGATGGCTATAAACAAATGCGTTCTTCTCCCGCCATATCGCCTCTGTAAATATTCGGGCATGGTTGTTACCTGGTAGGAAGCGACCAGACAAAGCATTACAAAATGATCCGACGAAATCCATGTATGTGTGGGCTCATCTTACCCCAGAGGCCAGATAAATGGGCAGGAAGATCCACGCAAGGAGCAGCACCATGAACATTCCCTGTCACAGAGCAACATGGGACGCTTGAGCATGCTGAGGCTCTCAAGAGTCACGTGTTTCTCACTGGTAACTGACTTGGCATATCGTACATTCCACTCGTAGGCGATTGCCCCGATACCCGCTGCTGCTCCAGAGCCGGCCAACCCGATTAAGTGTCCGCTACCGATGTTACTGGAAAACAGTGAGGCCCCTACCTGCAAGTAGAATGGATCTTAAAACCTTCAATAAAGCTATTGAATGTCTTACAAAATGGAGTGTTTTCGCATTATTAAACAACTGAAGTGCAGGGGGGGTCCACTTGAGATCAATATTTTCATGTTCTACTGTGACTTTGACAGTGAATGGCTTTAAAAGGCGGGGCTTGGCCTGGTGAGTGACATGGGTGTCAAGCGAATAAGAGTGTCAAATTGTCTGAAAACGGTATCAGCAACTGTGTCTGGCTTAGTGAAGACATTTTGTCTTAAATATTTATAGATTCAGATTTTGAAAAAGTGTTCAGAGTCAGTCAGTAACGTGTTTGGACTCACCGGCCACCAAGTCATGCTCTTCCCTGCCAGGAAGTAACCATCCACTGTGCTGCGCTTCGTCTTCCACATTGACTAGTAGACACATGACAGATTACGAGGAGAGAAACATGAAGTTGTAAAATGACTTTTATGACGTTCAACGACCCTTTTTTTCTCGTGAAGAAAAAAAAAAAAGAGTGGCACTATTAATTCACTGTGTAGAATGCTACATTCTCCCATGCCTTACATGGGCCAGCACTATTTATTCTGAAGGCCTTGGGCAGATTAAAATAACCAAGGCTGAAACACGACTGGACAAAATAAAAAACATCAAACATCCATAAGAACAAATGAATGAAACTTTATGGACCAAACATTAGAATTTGTGGTTGTAAATGTAGCCCAGTGTGATCTATTAAATGCGTCCATTTTTCAACACGGTGCTTGTAATCGATCTCATTCGATGACATACATCCTGATAACAACCATCACGGACTTACCCAAAAGCCCACAGCCAGAACCAAGACAAAATAGAGCACCAGTACCACTACGTCCACGGCAACAAAGGCAGCACCTCCTCCGCCTGGAGACGGTGTCATAGACATGGTGCTCCCTTGCTGAGTGACTGCAAGATCTAAGGTCATCTGGAAAGAATCCCGACATTGACAATTGTAGTTAAAATGTTATGCACTTCCATCACTTATTGAAGAAAAACTTGTTTTGAACAAGCGACGAGTAGTAATAGAAGCAGGTACTTGTACATGCAAGAAGCACCGCTTGCATTCACGTTTATACATTTTCAAAACTACGAGTCAACGAAGCTGTTTATTTGGATTAAAGTGCTGTCAATTAAATTGGCTCGTGTAATAACTTGCAAGTATGGTGTATCTGACACAAACAGGGAAAATGACAATTAAAAATTTGTGTTGTATTGTAGAAAAAAAAAAACAACTCACCTCTCTGCGGGTTGCCAGAGACAACCAAGCGCGAGCAGGAATTCACCGAGGATGAGTTGAATGAGCGCCCGCGAGCTCGTTTCGCGCAGCAGAAGATCAAACTCCACATTCAACACGTGCGCGCTGAGGCATGAGTTAAATTGTAAAAGATTTATTGCCCCTCACGCACACAACGCACACGTGGCAAGTGTATCAAATAAATGATCATTGCAAGTACACGCGCGACAAGTACGCATGCAACGGACCTCGTCATTTTCTCCACAAACAGGAAATCCAACACACAACTCGTCCCGAGGAGATAAATGTGTCTTTATATCATTAGCGGTGTTAAAAGATACAATACATAATGCACACGCGATACATTTCAGGTCATAAATGCACAGCAGGCCGGGCTAAGTGCAAAAGGGAGGAGAGCAAAATGGATTATTGATTATCATCAAGAGACAGCTCATCAGTGGCAATAAATGGTTTAAAATGACATGTCAAAGGGATTAGTTGGTGTGCGTTGGGGAACACAATGAAAAGAAATACTACGAGAATGAAGTCAACAAATTCCATGAATAGAGATGTAAGTTTACCAAAAAAAAAGAAAAAAAAACAACAACAACAACAAAAAATAAAAATAAAAAATACTTTACAGGATTCAAGTTTTAATTTTAGTGGACAAACTTGTCATTTCACAGGAATGAATTTAGAATTTTGACAGCTGAATCATATGATCATTTGAGAAGATTCAAATCCGAATGACACGAGAAATACGTTTTAATTTTCCGAGAAAGAGTTGCCATCTTCTGAGAATAACGTCAAGAGCTTATTGGAAGAAATATCACGAGAAAGGCATCGATCTTGACGAGAAAAAAAAGGGGGAAAGCGTCATGAGATTACAGTGAAGAAATTATGATCCAAAAAAAAAAAAAAAAAAAGCTAATTGCCAGATGATAAATGTCAACATTTATGAATAGAAACTGGGAATCTCATGAGGAAAAAGTGCAGAATTTGCAAAAATTGTCTAATGGCATAATTTTTTTTTTTTTAATTTTACTGTCACAGTCAGTAAAATATTACCAACGTGCTTGTGAAAATTGTGTTCTTTCTGTATGCGCATGTAAATTCTCTGCCATCCAGGTCAAGGTAATCCACCAGGTACAATCGAGGCAACTGGGCCACACTTGACCCGACTTGGACCGACTATGCTACATTTTCAGCTATGCCACGCTGGCGTGATGCACAATGAGGTCAATAAATATACTCTGTCATTTCGGATAAAAGCTTTAGAATTAAACAGTTGCTCACCTAGGTTTTCTACTCAACATTGTCTTACATTAGAGGAGCGAGTTTGCAGTATAATTAGCTGTTTATGTACATTAGTGCAGCTACGACACGAAAAGTCAACACGTTCGCATATCTTCATTCATAAATGAAAGCACTGACGTATGCATCCTCGTTATTTCTTTTTCTAGACATGTGAACCACAAGGCAAAACATGAGCATATTGCACACTGCCCGCTGCGAGAAAATATTACAGCGAGTGCCATCTGTCATAAGATTTTTCAAAGCAATATCTCTAGACAATCGCAAATATGAGCTACACTTGATGAAGAACTTTTTTTACATTCAGTGTGGTGGGCAACTTAAGAAAATAAACAGAAAATACTCAGTCCAATTTGTCCTCCGGCATCTATGCTACACACGAAGGATTTGATGGTGGTGTTACAGCGCCACCTAGGTAATTAGTGGCTGATGAAAAAAACTTATACATGAAAAATACATCTGTTGACATAAAACACTGTTGGCATTAATAGATCAACCATCTCTTAAGTTCCTTCCTAATACAATTGCTACATAAGAACTGATGTGGCTCAAAAGCAAGTTACACAAACAGTATATGGAATATCATTTCTACTGTAAAATATATATTTTTTGAATATATTCAACAAAAACTTAGTTGGATACACCTTCATACTCCATCCATCCATCCATCCATCCATTTTCCGATCTGCTTAATCCTCACAAGTGTTGCAGGGAGTGCTGGAGCCTATCCCAGTTGTCTTCGGGCAGTAGGCGGGGGACACCCTGAACCGGTTGCCAGCCAATCGCAGGGCACACACAGACGAACAACCATCCGTGCTCACATTCACACCTAGGGACAATTAAGAGTGTTCAATCAGCATGCCATGCATTTTTTTGGAATGTGGGAGGAAACCGGAGTACCCAGAGAAAACCTACGCAGGCCCGGCAGGGGAGAACATGCAAACTCCACACAGGAATGCCGGAGCCGGAATTGAACCCTTTACCTCTGCACTGTGGGGTCGACGCGCTAACCGCTGGACCACCGGGCCGCATCTTCATAATCTTACTCCAAATTACGACCATTATACGTAACATTGTTCAATTATGGGTGTTGATGAGGGTTATTGTCTCTGTGGGGTAAGAATAAAACCAAGTACACTGTACTAAAACAAAATCCAGTGAGTACTTATAACAGGGGTGCGCAAACGTTTGTGTCCGAGGGCCACATTGGATATTTTAAACAAACCGGGAGCCAGATTATGAGATGTCGATGGAAAAAAGGAAATAGTATCTCAAGTGCCAAATTTGAATACAAGTCCCTGTAGAGTGAAAAAAAAAAGTATTTCACATTTGAAACACCACAGAAGTGACTGCTGCTAACCGCACTTCCAAATTGGAACGACTAAAAGAATTGGCAAGTATTCAAAATAAGTTTGAAAACAGTCACAAATCAAACTCTTGTCAGTTGAAAAATGCAATAGACTTTTTAAAGTATTTTTTTTTTAATGCTTACACATCTCTAGATGGATGAGCTGTGGAAATGCATCCGCTCAAAGTTTTCAGTGCCGGGATATGAGAGACGCTAGACACCAGCTAGCTTGCCGGCTAACAGGTTTCCCGGGGCCCCGCTCGGCTGATGGATGCGCAACGGGCTCGTCCGCGGCCTTACCTCCTCGCTTGGGAATTTGAAAAACGACACGAGCTGTTCTGTACTTTGTGGCATGCGGGAAAGATGCATTTTCAGGGTGTGATGATAATAGCTAGCTAGCTAGCTAGGTAAGTGCACGCTGTAGCGGTAGTAATGCGCCTAGTAATAATAAATAACTCGCAATAGTGTCGGATAAGCACCGGAGCAAATGAAAGTGCTCAATTCCTATAGTTTGAGCGGGGGCTGGGGGGGGGCTCATGCCAACACCAAGTGCGTCACCGGGTGCCATTTTAGCCAAAGAAAACTGAAATGGTGAAAAACTCAACAGTATCTCTATATCTGAGTACTACATAGTACACAGTCTTGGCACATTTTCAGCAACTTGTGCAATGTATTTAAAAAAAAAACCTTTAATTTACTTCACGGGGTCTTTAACCAATTTTGGGAAAAACTGCGCAAAACTCTTGATGATGTAAATGCTCGTTGGGCCGAGTAAAGGAACAGAGCAAGCCGTATGTTGTCGCCGGCCATACCTTTACCCATATAGTGTGTGTGCGCATATGTGCATGTTTCTTCTCTGTAGGAGCTACCAGGCAAGCGGGGAGGCCATTCGAGGACTTCTCGGGCTCTTCGGGTTCTCGGCTGCCTGCTGATCACTGAGAACCCACTGTGGTGAAAAAAAAAAAAAATTCACATTGTAGTCACAATAGCAGTAAAGTTGCCTGGGCATCGGCGTTGGCTTTGTTTCGCGCCTGCATTGCGGCCCTGAATAAGAAGGATGCGGATGCTTTGAGATTGAAGTCCTAAAACTTTATGACAATGAGCAGGTCATGAGTAACAATAAAACTAGTGATAGCCTTACAGTACGGAAGTAATGCATTGTTGGAATTGTTTTATCTGCGCAACATTAAGTTTGGCATTACAGGACAATTAAGGTTTAGAAAGTCTCTCTATTTGCAGGAAGGGAAGACTTCACCGCCCCCGCCCCCCAAAAAAAAGCATCCACACTTGAAATCTTTCCTTCTCACCTCAAACTTGTTGATGAATTCAGCAAAGATGCCAAAGAAGGCCTCCGTGTTTGTGCTTTTGCCGTCTTCCCCGAAGTAGGAGGCCGTTCGAGAAAACTCCTCCAGAGAGCTCTGCTGGAGGGACTCCAGAGACTGCACGGCCGGATGGCTGTTTTCCAGAAAGGTCTGCACAACACGTCCCAGTCAAGGGACATGACTGTTAACACACTGGTGTCCAACTCATGGCTCACGGGCCCAATCTGGACCTCCATGTCATCGGCATGATTTTTCTTGACCTGTGTTCAAAACTAGCCATAAAATTAATCAGAACCTAAAGCAGGGGCCATTATGTAATAAGATAGGGTGGTCATTAAGAATTTAGACCCAGAAGCTAGCCTGTTCAGTTTCAGGCGAGCAAGATATGATGGCTAGAACCCAGCCGCTGGGGAGCAGTGCCCTCCCCTGGGGATGCACTGTTCCCCAGTGCCGGTCCCAAGCCCGGAGAAATGGGGAGGGTTGCGTCAGGAATGGCATCCGGCGTAAAACTTTTGCCAAGACGACCATGCGAGTTGGTAGGACGGTTTACAGGGGCGGATGGAAATTACTGACTCGCTGTGGCGACCCCTGAATAGAGACGTGCCGAAAGGGGAAGAAGAAGAAGAAGAAGATATGATGGCTAGCTGTAATGCTTTCAAAGGTGCGGTACAAATTGAACACGTGAAACTTCGATGAGGCCCTGTGATGAAAACAAGTTTGACAGCGGCGCACTAACGGCAGAGGATACGCTCATGACGGTGGCGAAGCGGTCCTCAGAGGTCGCGGGCATTTTCTGACAGGCCGAGCGGATGTTCTGGATAGTTCCGTGGAGGTCATTCACGTCGGATGTGATAGTCCTTTGGTTGACTGAATTGATCGAATGACAAAATTGGAAGAATTTAGGACATTTGTTTTTTTCAATGGTTTCCAAGAGGATAATCACCTTTGGCTGCAAGAGGAACCATGGTGAGATCTTTGGAAAAATCCAGCACATCGGGAAAGTGATGACACAACGACTTGACCAGAATGTGCAGGAATGTCGACTTCCCATCCACCGTCTTCGTTGTGCTCAGCTGCAAAGATGAATAAACATTGAGGGGAATGACTTGTTGGTGAATGCAAGCACGATTGTTTGTGATCCCGGACGTGTCTTCAAGAAATGAGTATTATTGATTATTAAGTATCATCTTAGTACAGTGGTACCACTATTTACAAACGTCTCTTCATACGAAATTTTCTAGTTATTAAAACGCCTCAACGGGAAAATATTGCCTCTTGTTACGAAAGAAATTTCAAGATACGAAAGGTAAAAAAATACAGAATGGGCTGCTACTCGCAGCTCCGAGTTTCCTGAACGCAACATACTTATAGCTGCCCTGCCATTGGCTATTACCGAGCATTATCCTGGAATCTCATTGGCTAAGAGGGACTTCGACCGTATGTGTCTGTGTGTAGATAGATAGATATGTGTTTATGTGTTGGAACGGATTAGGGCATTTCCATGGAAAACACGTCTCTACTTACATTTTCTACTCAAGAAATTTCTTCCACAACCGATTAATTTCGTAAGTAGAGGTACCACTGTATGAAGTGAGAAAACAACGGCATCTAGACAAGGAGAGGTCTGCCCGCCTCCCACTGAAATACCAAAAAGGAGCTCCAAATCAAAGATTTGACCGCGAAACCTAACAAGCAAGGAATCCACGAAGCCCTTTGCTCTCTTGAAGTTTTGCGGTGCACAGTAGCTAGTTTTTGGGATTGGCTCTTATCAGTTTTGAAAGTTACCATTCCCCCCAAAAAACTAAACATTTTGTAGTTTCTGTTGGTTCGTGTACCTCGGTCAGGAAGTTGATCTTGAAGCCAGTTGTCTTGTTGGTTTTAGGCTGGCTGTTATTCAGGTAGTTCCCCATGGCCAACACAAACTAGGGAAAGAAGCACAACAGATCTGAATACACAAAGTTAGTAGAACGCTAGCTTAAATTTTGAGACAGCCTTACTGACTGCGACCTTCGTTATCTTTGCACATGCATCATATGTCATAATTTCTCCAGAAAAAAAGGTTTCCCTGTTGGCTAAGAAGTCGTCATTTAATAATAATAATTTTAGGCCTTTTAAGAATAAAGTAAAGTTAGAGTAAAGTCCAAATGTGATGAGAAAAAAAGTTGGAAAAAAAACAAAACAAAAAAAGGATTACACAAGAATACATTCTTAATTTATATCTTGGATCTGAAAGTTAATTGAACAGGATTTTTTTTAAACAAAGAAAATACTTTGGCGTTTGCAGGACTCATTCCTTTGACCTTTCTGACGATGACTGTACCTCTAAAATCTTTGCAAGCTTCTTGCTGCTCCTGAGCTCCGAGGAGGCCTTGCTAATGCATTCGTAGGCTCCCCTCAGCTCTTCCGTCTTCTCCTGCAGCGAGCACTTGAAGAGGAGGCTCTCCAGACGGCTCTTGTACTCAGGCACTGACAGCATCTCATTTTTTTTTTTTTAAAGAAAACCGCAAACATTCAGAAGGCAGTTCATGAATATGTATGCTCCTGATGCTTATGTATGCCAAGAATGGTGACAAAAATGAGTTGCAGAGGACTCTGTTTTTCATTCGTTCGAAAAGGTAAGAAGTTACAGAAAATTGGGAAAACCTCAAGCTGCTCTCCGACTATGAAAAATAAATTCATCTGACTAATTCAACGACTTGTTGATCCAGTCTGTCTGATTTAGCCATTGAACAAAATTATTTCATTCCAGAGTACTGCACTGTATAAAATAATTGTCAGTAATGTTAATAAAATGAAAGGGAATGAGTGGAGCTGCTTCGATTCAGGCCGGCAGTGTGTTCACACCCACAACGGCACAAAACGCACTTTTTAAAACTGCGCTAAGATAGACACGTCTGCTAATATACCAAAACGACGTCTCCCCCTTGCTCCTGCACAGATTTAGACCGCGCCTCACACCAGACTTGCGCTGGTGACAAAAATAGAGCCCTACAATTGAGTTTTAAAAATTTAATCTACTGTACCATTACAATATGAACGTAGTATGAGCGGTAGTATCAATCCAAAAAGACACGCGACTGGTCCGTACTTTAAGGTACCTGCAGTACAAACTGGTCCGGCTCACTGAGTTTGCTGGGGTCCTCCTTGTACTCTTGGTACTTTTTGACCTCCTCTGCATCAGGGGCGTATAGCATCAGCTGCTTAATGTGCGATGGCTCCAGCCTGTCGGAGCTCATGCTCATCAGTACCTGACGCAGCTCTCCGGGGGACAGCTTCAGGTGGGCTATCAGGATGGCTGGAGAAAGAAGGGAGTGGAAAGGGAAGCATTGTTAACATTCTCCTACAGACAACATTAGCTGTTCAATTCATTTGAACGTAGTTGTGAGTACACAGTGCACAATTCCACACTTACATGCATTGTAGGCCTTCTTGTGGGACAGAATTTCAATGACATCTTTTTTCTTAAATGTTTCCAGTTGTGGTAACGGCAGTGGTGCAAGCACTAAAAATATGATTGTAAGTTGAAACAAAACATGTACAATAATTATTTTTTAAAATATGTCACATTAAATAAACAGTAGGTATGTCAGAAGTGAAGCCGGCAAATAAACTTACGAGAACCTTTCTGTGTTCCAAAGTGCATCTCCAGGTCCAAATACTTCACCATGTCATGTAGTTTCTCATGGTCAGAATTTGCACCCAACTATCAAGGCATACGACAAGGGTTGCAATGTTACTAACAATTCCAGAGTTAATATGAACTATAGATACAGTGGACCCTACTGTTAAAGCAATTTTAATGAATTACTTATTCCTAATTTCCAGATCAAGTGTAAAAAAATAGTAAACATAACATCACTGTCAGATGGAAACCATATTTGTCCAAACATGGTCAATTTCATATTTTTTCACTAACTGATACCAAAACCAATAAAAGTGTAATGAAAAAGCGACCAATCGGAGCTGAGCAAAGCTGTTGTGGTGTGGAGCCGGTCCAATGGAGAAGCGTCTTAATGAATAGGGTGAAGGAAGATGCACTGCCATCTTGTGGAATTTTACAGAACTGCTGTATTTAATGGGAAGTAAACTCAGAGATTCCCAAGCACTGGGCCAAGGCACATTTAAGTAGACGGCATACATTTTCAACTTAAAATTCTAAAATGTAGCCTTACACACCCCACGTGTAACTCGCCCAACATTCACCTGGCCCCAGATGGTGCCTTCAGAGTTCTCCACCTGCTCCCACCGCAGCCTCTTGACACTCATGTGATGGGAGTCCATTCTGGAGAGGGTGGGCCTGGGTAAGGGTGGAGGGGAACACGGGGGAGGCAGAGGGGGTGGCGGTGGTGGGTGAGGCTCCAGATGCTCGGTGGGGTCAGATAGAGAGTGGGGGAGCGACTGGGGTTGAGTTTGGCTCTGCGCCTGTTTGAGCTGGGACTGGCTTTGGAGCTGGTGTTGGGACTGCATCAGGTGGTGGGACGGTTGGGAATGAGGACGAGTCGTTTGTGGGGCCGACTGGTTTTGGCTATGCTGGGGGAGGGGCTGGAACGTGGAGAGCGTGGGCTGGAGTGGTTGGAATGTCGATAGGAGTTGGTGGGACCTGTGGGGTTGCTGCGGCGGATGGATTACGTGAATCTGGTGCTGGTAGTCCTGCGGCGGAGGTTGCGGGGTCATGTGGTGGATGTGGTGGATGTGAGGGGTGCTGGAGTGCTGGTGAGTCTGCTGGATTGAATGGGGCCTCTGGGGGTGTGGCTTGACGGGCTGGGGCTGATGCGTTTGGTGGATCGTCTGGCCTTGCGGTGAGGCTTGGGTCTGATGGTGGCTTTTAAGACTCCTTTGGCTCTGATGCGAGTGGCTCTCCCGGTTCATCTGAAGCAGTTGGGGGGAAGGCTCTTTCTGGACTTGATGCAAAAGCTCCGTGGAGGAGTGATGATGGGGCTTGCCTTGGTGCATCTGATGGGACTGGTGGAGTAGCTCCATGGAGGAATGGTGGGGTTGAGTTTGGTGTAACTGATGGGGCAGCTCGTTGGACACATGGTGGGGCTGCCCCCGGTGCATTTGGTGGGCTTGATGGAGAAGTTCCGTGGAGGAGTGGTGAGGCTGCCTCTGCATCCTCTGGTGAGCTTGATGGAGGAGTTCCGTCGAGGAGGGATGGATCTTGGGCTGGTGGTGGAAGATTTCCGCAGACGAGTAGTGGCTGCTGGGTTGTTGCATTTGCTGCAACATCTCCGCCGGCGCCGGGTGGATCTGCGCTTGTTGCAACTGGTGGAGCATCTCGGCCGAGGAGTGGTGGGGCTGGGCCCTGAGGCTTTGGTGGCTTTGGCAAACGCCCTCGGGATATTGCTGACTCGGGTTGGCCGTGGGTAGAGGAGGTGGGTGATGCGGAGGCGGGGCCGACCGGGACAGGCGTCGGTGGTGGTGCCCCGGGTGGGCCTGGTGCTGCGGCGCTTGCCGCATCATATGAAGAGGATGGCGAGAGTGGTGGTTGGCGGATTCTGGTGCAGGTAGCGGAGGTAAAGACTGGTGTAGTTGCTGGAGTGGTAATGGCGAGTGGATGTTGTGCTGGGTGGGCTGGGCAGGCATCGAGTGGTGGCTCTGGTAGATACGTTGCATGACTTGGTCCTCGTAAGCTTTTTGCTCCTGGAAGGCTTGTTGCTCCTGCAATATTTGCTCCTCAAATGCTTTCAGTTCCTCCAACGCCTTCTGCTCCTCATAGGCTTGTCTCTCCTTGAAGATTTGCTCCTGATACGAATGGCGCTCCTGGAAGGCCTGCTGTTTCTCAAAGGCCTTCAGCTCTTCATACGCTTGCCTCTCTCGATACGCTTGTTGCTCCTCGCACGATTGCTGCTCTTGATAGGCCTTTAGCTCTTGTATGGCAGCCTGGACCTGCAGCTCCTCTTTTGAAGGCAGCACTTTGTGCAAGGAGTGTCGTTTTGGTGGCGGGTGGGGGGGGGGGGGGGGGGGGGGGGGGGGGGCCGGATTTCCGCCGGATGGACACGTAAGCTCTTGGTGAGTGTTCAGGGGTGTAACTCGGCTGCTGCTGTTGCTGTTGTTGGCGCGGTGCCGGTTGAGACGGCGCAGGTGCGGCTGGAGGAGCCGGCGTGTCGTTGAACTGAACGGGCGGAGGTGGAGGAGGCGTCATGGGGGGCGGAGGGATGTGGTCAGAAGAGGAGGAATAGGTGAGGGAGGACGCATTATCGTCCCCGCTGCTGCTTTGGATGTCGCTCGGACTGCTCAGCTCAGGACCCACAAATCCGCCGTTTTCTTCTTCGTCCACGCCTAAGTCTCCGTCGTTATCTTCCTCCTCCTCATCCTCATCATCATCATCTGGGAACGCTATCTGCACAACCTCCTGCCATTTAAAGGGGACAAAATTGAAAATAAACTTCAGAATTGCTCTGATACTAATTGTTAGGTCTCTGGAGTGCTTGACCACCCATCAAGTGTGAAATTAAACAAGCAAGAGAATCGCTTATTTGCCTTTTTCTAAAATTGTTTCTGTGAGCGAGCCCTTGTGGCATTCCATTAATTTAATAACCTCCCCCACAATGAGTTTCTCTGCCCATTGCATGACCAGTTTGTGCTGCGAGAAGATCCGCAGCCACTTTGAAAGCAATGGCCAGAACATTTGTGTTTAGTGATGTACGCATGCGGCACATTCGAGCGCATGAACGGCTGCCTCCAAGACTAAAACGGCTTTTATTGTGACTTTATACACACACTGGGTGGCGACAGGACTAAACTAGCGTAATCTGTGTTCTGTGCACTAAAATTGCATTAAACTTAAAAAAAAAAAAAAAAGACCTGAACCACTGTTTATTGTTCCACATAGGTGAAAAATCTGCAATATGAGACAATACAGCGTACAGGTTGACCCCTCCCACATGCTTAAAACACATGTAGACTTAAAACATGAAAGAAAACACTGAATAAAAAGCGATCGCTGAAGAAAGATATGCAATATGGCTGGAGGAACGCCGCAAATAAATACCTCTTCATAGTCGTTTTCGGGAGTAAGAAAGTCATCAACGATTGCCACTCGCTGGCCCAGCTGCTCACTCAGCGCGTCCAGAAAGCGGTCGGTGTCGTCAGACCGCGGTGGCTTTGAGAAAGTATAGCGACGTTTGCTGCTTCGGTGCGGCGGCGGACTCGAGGGAAAGTCGATGAGCTCCGGCGGCGAGGGCGGTGGGCTGTCCAGGCTAACGTAGGGGTTGGACTCCCCGCTGTTCTGGCTCGTCGGGCCTGAGGGGTAGAATTGGGAAGTGGGGGGGCTCGGAAGAGGCTCTGGCCAGGTTATCGCAGACGGGAGGGCTTTACGACTACCTACAACAAGGAAGACATACGTGTGTTAAGATTTCACACCGTAAAATACGTCGTAGAGAGAGTGAGTATGAGCAAATGTAATTGACAGAAGGAGGCTTTGACATGTTTCACATGTATTGTTTGGAACATAAAATCCCAAGGAGACTCTTATTTTCAAAGCAGGATGTGGATAGTGGTGTGTAAATCCATCCATCCATCTTCTACCACTTATCCGGGGTCAGGTCGCGGGGGCAGCAGCTTTAGCAGGGAAGCCCAGACTTCCCTCTCCCCAGCCACTTCTTCCAGCTCTTCCCGGGAGATCCGAGGCGTTCCCAGGCCAGCTGGGTGACATAGTCTCTCCAGCGTGTCCTGGGTCGTCCTCGGGGTCTCCTGCCAGTGGGACATGCCCGGAGCACCTCACCAGGGAGGCGTTCAAGAGGCATCCTAATCAGATGCCCGAGCCACCTCATCTATCTCCTCTCGATGTGGAGGAGAAGCGGCTCGACTGTGAGCCCCTCCCGGATGACCGAGTTTCTCACCTTATCTCGAAGGGAGAGCCCGGACACCCTGCGGAGAAAACTGATCTCGTTCTTTCGGTCACGACCCCTAGCTCGTGACTATAGATGAGGGTTGGAACCTAGATCGACCGGTAAATTGAGGGCTTCGCCCTTTGGCTCAGCTCCTTCTTTACCACGACAGACCAATACAAAGTCCGAGACCGAGGTGTGTAAATAATAACACGATTTAACTCACCGATAATTCAACAGAGATATAGAATGTGAAACAGGAAGTAAAGGAAACCAGCGGAAGGAATCCATTTTATAACACTTCTACTTGGCATGAGAATGTTTACTAAGCAGTTTGGAAAAAAGGGTTCCTAGTTCCACCATTTTGATACTGTATCCAGCTGCATCCAATCCAAATTGTACTGTTTTGAGGAATTGGGCCTCACGTGTGTTTCCCAGTTCCACTTTCACATCACCAAATCCTCAAGCTCAAGTGCGCTACTTTGACAACAAAACTTTCCAAGGCCTACCTTGGTGTGGGTTTTATGTAATAATACGTAATGATCGAAAATTCAAGGATATTCATAAGATTCGGAAATAGGTTAGCTGCTTGGGGATTTAGCATTGTTGCACTGCAGCACTTTTTCATTATTCCATCTATCCACTCGATATGATCCTATCTTGAGAAAGACAATAACGTGCAGGCGGGTATGGCATCCGATACGTTTGCGCATATCGTTCCACACACCATCGGTACAGTCGAACAAGGTCCTGGTGGCGCTACCTGCGGTGGCACGTGTTGTAGGCGAACCTGTGCGGGTGGGAGGGTCCAGATCCACCAAAGTCTCGGGGGCGGGAGGAGGGCGAGTCTTCAGGGATTTGGATCTCTTGGCCGCGTACATGTTCTCCAGTTCGGCGTACACGGCTGATAGCTTGTGTGGTGGAAATGTAAAAGACATATTGAGACAATAAATTGTTGCACAAATTTTACTTCAGAGGAATCGGGCACACGTACATTTGTGAGGTTGTTGGGAGTCTCTGGAAGAGAGGTTCCATCCCCTGACTGTCTTTCTCCTGGAGCCAACCTCATTCCTGCCTCCAGTAGCGAGTCTGCACGGAAGCCTAAAGTGATCCAGGCATTACAATGAGCTAAACCCAACGGTACAATTGTTCCGACAACTGGGAAACATTTGTGTGTAGTATAGTTGATGAATTTGGCATTTGCTAGTAATCCATAATGACAACTGAGATTTGCTTACATCGCTGGGCCTATATTACATGCAAATATAGTTTTGTGAAGAAGACGTGTAAATGAAATGAAAAAACGAAACAGGCAACTACACTAAGTACAGCTGCATAATTTGATATGATATCAAATGAAATATTTATCTGGTGGAGACAGTTTTATGGCCTCAACTACACCCCCACAAGATGCGAGAGAGAGTTTGCCCTTGTTTAATTGCCTAGTTAGAAAAAATAAACATGGTTGCCTTGAACAACCCAGCCACTTCTCATTACAATGTGCAGGTGTACCCACGACCGCATATTATGATAAAAATGAGCATTTCTAGACATGCCGGACGTGTGGTTACAGTAAAAATGATCACAAAAAGAGAGAAAAAATAAAAAAGCGAGTCAGATTCTGTACCCATGCTCAAGTGTGTGCCAATGAGCAGGTCATCAGAGCTCCGCCCCCTCACACTGCTCCTGTACGTGGTGCCCGTCACCCTCATGGAGCTGCTGCGGCGATGGGGCTCAGGGGCAACCTCGGCCTCTGGAGGAGGAGGAGGAGGAGGGGGAGGTGGTGGTGGTGTAACTGGAAAACACACACACACACACACACACACACACACACACACGCGAAAACCAGTGCCGGCCTTGCATTTAGTAACTGCACCGTTGGTGGGGATACACCTTTTAAAATTACCACCAGCACCTCGCAATGACAAAAACCACTAATACTAAACAAAAGCGCAATATAACAGCATACGTTGTGCAAGGTAAACAGTTCTGCTCTCTCCGACCAATCAGAAGACAGAAAAAAAAAATCCAATGCCGTAAAAGCAGAAGAAGTTGTTCTCCCACCTGGTGCCTTGAATCCAAGAAAGCGCGAGATTTTGTTCTGGCAGTGTTCTTGTTCTTCATACGTCAGCAACTGGTAAACAAATTGCCAGATGACCTGCTTGGCTGGCGTATCCAGCACCGGGAACACGTCCACGATCAGTGTGTCAACATTCCTGTCGCCATGGAAACACCACATCTTGGAATTCATTCCCATACAGACATACACTTTTTTTGGCTTCTATTTGCCCACCTGTGCTGGAAGAAGTTCTCCAGAGCCTTGCAGATGGTGTACTTCTCCTGGATGGTCAGCAGGTGCTCCAGCTGCTGGCCGAAGGTGCGGCCGTGGACTCGGATACTGGGTGGCAAGATCTCGGCCACCCACTGCAGGGAGCTGAGCACGGGGGAGCGAGCGCGCTCTGCGGGAATGCCGCCGCCCCCCGCCGGGC